TAAGAATAGCAAATAATATAAATCTTTTGCTGTTTGACACGATATTTATTTTAATCAACTGAAAAAAATTTATTTAATAAGTTCACAATAGAATTAAAATGTGAAATCTCAAAAAATTTTCGGAATTAGTAAAAATCAGCTACATTATGCATGCCGTATCAATTGAAACAAAAGAAAGAATATGAATTAAATTCGAAACTATTTTTTTCAAAGTGAAACATGATTGTGAAAGGCATCGGAGTATGGATGGGAAAAAAATACTAACTACGGCGTGGATAAAAAAAATAACTCCAATCGAACTCGTTTCGAGCGAGATTCCTGAATCAAAGTAAAAGTTCATTTCATAAAAATACTCGATGCCGTGTATTTCCAATTCGCAGTGCCAGCAACTGGTGCAGACTGCAGACTTGCGCTTGACTTCTGTACGCGAAAGCTTAATGTGTCAAGTGCAACTGTGGGCGTACATCATGAAACCTCTACACGAAACAGCTATAATCCACATTCTCCTACTCATATGTGAATCTATATATCTACTTATCGCACAGTTAATTAGGCAGAATGCATGGTTTTTGACGGCTATTTCCTACGGAAAATATTAATCCATCAAACCCACAGTTTGCTTATGCAGTTATTCAAAATATATATCTCTCTCTTCCTTGTGCAGACATCTCTTAAAGCCCTTTGATGTGCATGAAACCGATATTTAATATCAAATATTAGCATTAATTTAAAAATCCTAATTAAAGAATAGATTGAAATAATACAAATTTTCTCCATCATATAGTCTGAAGATTGGTAAATAAATATTAACGTAATATTTTTAATATTTTAAATATGAAAAAATAGAGTTTAAAATACAAATTTACGAGATAATTGTTTTTAAATGAAATGCCTCATATAAATATTGATAATATAACATACAATATTTATCAGATAAATACATTTATTTATAATTCTGCCTTGCAAAAGTGAATTAACTTTTTATCAATTAACTCAGTTCATTATATCATCTTGCTTACAAATTTATAAAAAAATTTATTCTGTCAATAAAATTATGTGTCCTTTATAAAAAATTAAATAATTTCTATCTCGCCTTTTATCAATTTTTGTTAACATGAATTATTTTTTCCAACATCAATGAGACGTAATTCATTTAAATATTCAAAATTGCATTCACTCGTACAGTTTGATATATACAAATGAAAATATTTTCTTCCCTTCATATACAAGGCATATTTTCAAACAAAATAAATTTTACGTATGCAGAATGAGCATGTGTGGTAATGAGCGATCAATATAGAAAAACATAATTAATTAGCACTTTAGAGAATGTTTATTCTGCTAACGAACCTGGGATTTTTTAATTAAATTGTTTATAAATTATGAAGTTAATAATCATAAAATACGATAAAGCTTAAAGTGAAACGTATAATAATAATAATTTTCTACATATAATATAAACTTAGTTTAGTGAAAAGAATTATAGATTTTATTGTTTATAAATTTTCGCATTTATTTTAATTTCAATTGTTTGTTAAAAATTTTATGAATCACAAATTATAAATTCCATACACAATAAACGTATATAAATTTCGTTTTAAAATAAACGAGATGATCGTCGTGCGATTATTTTTTAATTAAAAAAGATAACAAAATTTCATATTTTTAACACAGAATAAAGTATAAGAATAAATTTTGTTTTAATTTTTTTATATATGCAAAAAATTTTATTATCATTTATTTGTCTTGATTTAAATTAACAAATTATTTTTGATATCAAGAAGGTATAAATTATTCCCTTAACAAACAAAAAATTATAAAAAAACATTTTATTTATCTTTTACGTGAATGTTGAGTTTTACAGTTGTTAGATGAACGGTAACTGGTACACCCACGATAAGATAAATAGAAAAAATTTTTTGCCTTTGTGAATATAAATAAAGATTACTGAGAAATGAAATATGTTTTTGTTCTTATTTGATAAATAAGGTTGTCACATTTATGGGTGGTATGGGGTTAAAGGGCATTCGGTATTCCAACGTAGTATCACAGTAGTTTATATAGCAGGGAGGCATAAGCAACATACCAATTAGCCGTTTTACATGGTTTGCTGAAGACCCATAGAATGTCACTTGCACTCCTGAGACATTTTCAGAATTCAATTGTAAGCTTACTATGCTCAGTTTTCGAGGAAAAAAAGTCACACCGCTAAAAGATTCTTATAAGTCTTTCTTTTATCATTTTTTTGTAAACTAATCATTTTAAAGAAAATCTTTCCATTCCTTTATTTAACTAGATTTGAATGTAATTTTGTAGTTAATCCCTAATGAAAAAAAAGTCCAAAAATACAACTAACTCTTTAGAAAAAAGAATTCTCCTCTTACAAAGCGTAATTTATTTTCCATGTTCCTCTGATCAAAAAAAAAAAAATTCATTCGATACGTAAAGTCTCGAATGAAAACAAGTGAGTTACTGAAATTCCGTATTTTAAAATGAAATAAGTGGAAGTAAAATAGCTTCAACTAGATGAATGTAATTGAGGGAAGTTTACTTTCTTTTACCCTACTGGAATACTGTAACTAACTCCCTTTTTCTTCTTTGGAAACTATTAAACAACTGTCTAAATCATTAATGATCTTTCTTCGAAAGAGTTGATCAAAAAAAGATTGTAGAAATTTCATTGAAATAGTAGTGTGATTGCTCTTATAAAATAAGCAAAGCTAGGGGAAATGCTTCAGGCTCATTTTTCTGTTTTCCTGTGCATTTCCAAGGATGCTTTGGATTGGCATGCCTGCTATATTGAACTTTCTCCAGATACGTGCCAGGTTTACCTAGCTTCTTTCTCTCGTACCATCCTTCCCAAGACAATTTTCAGTCAAACCACAATATGATATAAGACAACCGGGACCATCTCTAGAACGAAACCTTTCTTGCATATTTATGCTTCAAATAAGTAGTGTTATGCATACATAATATAGGGAAATATATCAGAAAAATAGCTAGGTAAACGTGAATCTATACGAGACCATTCATTTTGTTTGCAATTTATTGCATTAGAGCTAAAAGCTCTATTTACATTTTTGGTTTTTGTAAATTTCAATTTGATATTGTGTGTAAACTATATTTTCTTGAATACCAAAACCTTTTTTTTCAGTAGCAATAAAGTTAACAAGATATATTCTTTTTAGTCTAGAATAATCCCGAAATTTTGTATATAAACTATCCGTAAACAGTACGCAACAATCCGAATTAAGTACTGTTAAAAAACTAAATCCGAAATGAGTCTAAAATAATATGAAATATTTTTGTGAAAATTTTTCTTCACTTGACTTTTTTAAAATTCGTCTATAAAATCAATTTAATTGGACTTAAGGGTAAAAAATGGAAATTTACATTGAATGGTAACAACGAACACTATATTTCACGTGACATAATACCTTCTTCCCTTGTATTATGTTTTTCCCTTTACAAGCAACGATCCTTTTATAGCATAATCCATTTTTACATCACTTTGATGTTCATTGGGTTAGGGATACGTGGTGCGTGAGTTAGCGAAAAGGGTCTCTCAAGAACAAGACTTCGTGTTTTTCAAGATGATATATCATTTAAGGACTTATGTAATAGCCGAAAGAAATTCAGAATTTTAATACAAGAAAAATCTTCTTTTCTTATTTCGAGTGCCTTTTTATGTAACAAAGTAGCGTTTTACGAGATTTTTTTAAAATATTTTTTCCTATTGGATATATCATCGCACCATTTCCATAATTCATTATATAGAACAAATCATAAAAATATAATATAGAAGATATATTTCTATGATGCAGAATTACATGTATTCATTATCTTGATTTACGTTTCCCCAGAATGTTTTTAAACTTGGAGTGAAACAACGGGCTGAATATAATCGTAAAATCTTATGCTCAAAGTATAAAGTGTTAAGGAGAGAATTAAGTTCCCAGTGCAGTAAGTATATTGCTACACTTGCGGCAATGAAGTTGTATGAGATAATAGACGCCAAGGCACTAAAGATGATTTTTGATTACTGATATTAAGGGCATTAATAATTTTCTAAAAAGAGTTTGTATAGCAAAGTTGTACTGCGGCATTTTACTTTCAAATTTCTTGAAAAAAATTCATGGCATATAATATTCGTTCAAGTAATACCTAACTAAATACCTAACAAAAGCATCATAAATGCAAAAAGTTGTGATAAATAAAAATTATCCTATTGAAACAAATTGTAAAATGAAAGTTTATCAAGTATTTATGACTTTTTAGTTAACCAACTACATGGATCCTTATTGGCATATTGTAAATTTAAACATAAATTCCGATCGAATTTGATTATATTAACAATTTTGTTATCACCATATTGGATCCACCATTTTGAAAATTTTTAATCTGATATCAAATTTGGATTTAGCGACCCCTGAGTTTATTTTTCCCAATGTAATAATAAATTTAACAAATAATAAAAAATAAATTATTTACATGTATAGATATCTTTGTTACCGATTGTAGTTATAAGATTGTATCAAAGGCACAGCGCATTATCAATGCACGATAGTGTTGTTACTTATAGGTAAACACTAGTATTGTTTACTGTAGGTACAAAATAGAAAATAATAACAATTTTCGTCTTCCGGTAAAAAGAGTTACATTGAGATAAAAGAAGTTTCTAATTTAATTAAATTGCGGAAGAATTAAGAAAACAAACTTAAAATTTATTAAAACGTTTGTACAAAATTTTAAAAAATATGACATTGATTTAAAATAAATTTTAATTAATTAAATAAGCAATTAGTAAAATATTCAATTTAATGTATATAATTTAGATTTTTTAATAATAAAATTATTTTTAATGGTTAGCAGTAACCTTTTCTTACGAATATTCATTTCTTTTATTTTGAATAAATGTATACTTTACCGCGCAAACTTTTAAGGTGGACGTCGTTTGTACCAAGCGTTCATTGGATGAGTTATTTTTACCTGCGCGTGGACAAACCTTGTTAGTTCAGGTCATATCATAACCTGAACGTGCAATTTAATATTTTGACAGCAGGGACTAAATATTAATTAGAATATTTTAACATTTATAAAAATGTCTTTAATTCAAGACAAGAAAGATTCTTCAGGGAAAAATGTAGATGTAGTTTATTGTACATTTTGTCCATCGAAAATTCTTAATGCTGGTGCTGCTACTTTTGTAAATATTGAGGTTAGTTTTTTATGTAACTTTTATTCCTAAATAATATATATATACAAGAAAAAAACCGTTGCCAAGTTGAAGTATGAACTTTTTGTATTCATTTCATGAACACTTTGCTTCCTCATGGAGATTTTTTGTGATCAATTTATGATAACTTATTTAGTATTATAATAATTATAAAAAAGGTGTTAAGTTGTATTTTTTGGGCGTTTGCAGAGATAATTTTTTAACATCCATAACTTCGTAAGATTTTATAATAAAAGGTTCAATAATAGGTTAATTAATTCGTTTTTAAATAAATTCAAGTTGTTCATAATAATTTTAAAGTTACATAAAGATTTTTTTAATGAATAATGCAAAAAAGGCAAGTTTTTCAAAATTTTTCAATTTCGAAATGTTAATAACTCTGGATAAAATAACAGTAGAATATTCGCTAATAGGTCAAAAGATGCGTCTTAAAAAAACTTTACAAAACTACGTTAATGTTTATTTTATTTACATTTCAGTTTTCTCTACCTGAAATTTTGTGTAAAAAAGGAAGTGAGGGTACTAGCCGTGAAATGATTACAGACTGCTGGATGGTGGAAGACATTAATTGCTTCGAAAACATTGGTGTCTCGCACACGGTAGAAAATGTGAAATACCTCGCATGTGCAGATTGTGAAAGAGGTCCTGTTGGATGGCACGATTTATCCACATACAAATCATATATCGCCCTTTCTCGAGTCAAGCACGAGAAACCAAACTCTCAGAAAAAGTGATGAAACATATAGCAACGATGATAGACCCGTTCATGTAAAAAAAAAGACTTATCAAATTCTATTTTAATTTTATATTTATATGTGAATGTAGTTCATGCAGTCACTTTGCTTGTACATAGTGCGCAAGAATAATTGTTCTTCGACAGTATTTGTAAAGAAGTCCAAGTATGCACTGGTCATCTGAAAGTGAAAAGATTCAAACGCACAAATTGCTTTTTACATTTAATAATTACCTAAACTGCAATTTCATACTTTTAAAAAACTAAAAGATTTATAAGAAGCCTTTTCTTGAAGTGAAATTCAAAAAAACTTAAGTGTTTGTTAACATACATTTTATTGAAAATTTTCATACAAATCAAATCACTGAGCATTTATTAATTTCAATAGCCATAGTAGAAAAATATATTTTATAACGTATTAATAATAAAGCAACTTATTTAATCAGTTTTTATAATGGAATTTTTTACAACAAAGCTTTAAATTCTGATTATCGGTATTTTTTACCACAAATATTTATATAGTTTTGTACGTTTGCGTAATTTTCGTGAATTTTGTACTTACAAAAATAAATGCCTATACAAATAGTATATGAGAAAGTAATATAAATTTATATTTGTATAACAATATTCATACTTAATAATGTTCCTTATTTCTTTTTACATAGGTTAACACAGAATGCAATAAGTTAAACAAAATAAACTTCAATAAGGCCGATTTTTGGGCTAAGCTTGGATTAAGCTCAATATATCCTCATTCGTTTGTATAAGTGTACCTCATAAGACCATGAAGTAGATTTTCCAAAATAATAATTTATTTGGATTTATCAAGTGCTTTTAAAATTGAATTTTACATGGGTTTTTGAAAATTTCAGCTTACAAGTCAATATTTTCACACTAGAATAAACACAGTAACCATTGCCTACGTGATTATAAGCAATTATCAATGGATATTGGTAAAGTATAGTTTTTGAGGTCGCTGATTACGAATTTGATGTTAGTTTTTTTGAAAATTCAAAATGGCGAATCGAATATGGTGGAAATTTTTAAAAATTGATCAGATTCTTTGTTGGTATTTCAAAATTTAATATGGCCGCTTACTCAGGGGTTTTCGGTGTCACCAATTACAAATTTAATACCAGATTTGTAATCAACACTAAAAAAATCCCCCAGTACTGATTTTAAAGCGAATCTAACTTAAAAAAAATCCGCCATTTTGAATTTTGAAGAGCGGACCTCAGGTTGGTTATCAGCGACCCTAAAAACTTATCTGTAAAAATCTTAAGTTATATATCTGTAAAAAGAATCGTTGATTGTATCCATAAAAAATCTTCAATCATGTTCATAAAAGTTTGCGATTGTTTCGATAAGGTAGAAAATCCAAAAAAAAACTTATAAACATAATCTCAAAGATTTCTTTCTCTTTCGAGAGAGGTCCATCATTTGACCTTTTATGGGGAACACCCTGCAGTTAGGATCACTTCATGTGACCTTAGCTTCTTCCCCTTTTTGCTTCCGTTAACGTTAACTTCTTCTGATACGTGCATTTTACATCTTTTAATCAAGATACATCGTGAAAGCTATGGAATCCTTCATGTGTGTTTGTGTTAATGCGTGTGAAAAGATGCGTGTGAGCATTGATCACATAACGCCTTAAGCAGCCCGTTGATTAATTACATAAATTCTCTCCAATTGTGCACCTGAATCTTACGTAAAATTGTTTACATTTGTTGCTAGTTTGTAATAACTGTCCTAATGCTATACGACCATTCGTAAATCATATTTATAGAACAAAACTGAGAAAGGAAATCTATTCATAAACGATACTTCTTACGTACAGTATAATTTAATTTTACAATAAAGCTTTTTTTAATTAACAGCTTCTACACAACATTTTTATATATATATTTCATTTTTTGTGAAAAGTCGGGTCATATTTTATGTTTTATTTTTATTCAGGGTAATTAATTTTCTCTCTATTACTTTCGATTCTTAATAATTCCAAATTAAAACGATACTGCGACACAATTTATTAATGAAAAATACGTATTTAAAAAGTTAAGTGAATTTGTGCTGATGAATTGAAAAAGATTAAAGCTCAAAAATTTTCAGGAGAATTGCAACATAGCTCCAATTCGAATTTGTCGCTAACTGGGATTTACGGTGTATTTTTAAATATTAATTGATTGGATGCTTCTCTTATCTCATTAGGTAATTTGTTCCATAATCTTGCTCCTCTAATAATAAAAGATTTTTGTAATTTACAAGTTCTTGGTATTTTTAAAACAGATCTTCTTTCTCGAAGCCTGCGGTATATTGAATCATCAAAATTCTTAAATTCAAAAACTTCATAAAGATAATTTGGAATTCCATTAGTGAATATCGAATACAATAGGTTTCCTATAAAAAGCTGTCTTCTCACCGCAACATTTAGTAATTCAGATTTAACTCTATATTGTGTAATATGCTCAGTCTTGCGCAAATCGTATAAAAATCGAATACAGGCATTTAATGCTCTTTCTACTTTATAATTAAGATCATCAGTGATATCATCGTACGCCTGACAGTAATAATCAAAAATAGCCAGAATGAGAGACTTTACTAATAATCTTGTTGCAGTTGGGAGAGATTCTTTATTTTCTATTTAATTGCAGCAATATAGTATAAGCCGAAATCACCATAGCATGAGTCTTTTCTGAATTAAGAGGAAGTCAATTACTATTTGACCATTCCACAACATAATTAATATCTATTTGAATCATTTGTAACATATCATAGACAATGATGATAACGGTCGAGATTTAAAATTTTCATTAAACTCCAATATTAATTAAATCGGTTTGGATCATCTTGACAGCGTTTGCCGATAAAATAATTTTTGATATTTATTTATATTGCAAATAGACATGACAATGAGTTTATTTCGAGTGTTAGCAAATTTTTAGAGAAATGGTGGTGGATATATTTCTACGTGGAGTGTCTAAGTCAGGGGATACAATTCCTATATAAAGCTTGAATGGTGAAGATGTTCCCAGCAATTCACTCTCACCTTTCTCACTAGCGCGTGCACATAAGTTGTTCGGATTCTCGCGAGAAGAGGAGGTGCATGTAGTCTAAAGAAGCTGCGCTTCACTCAATAATCACCTTCAATTCACAAGTGAGTTCTATATCTCTTCACTTCCTTCTTTAAATCAACATAATTTCTATTGATCTTATGACACCAGACACTAATTGAACATAATTACCACAAAGAAAATAGAATTTCGCAATTGGACTAGAGTACTTTTTTTCCTTCGAAAAAAAATTTATGTAACAATTATAAATTTTAATTAAAATGAATAATTATTTTTATAATTTTTTTAATAATTAAAAAGGTATATAAATATTTATTTAATTTAAAGAAACATTTTTTAGTTGACGTCAATTACTTTCTAATTGAAAAATTATTATTGTTCTATTTTAGTTTTATAAATTCGTATTCAATTCGTTACTTTTAATAAATAAATTAATTATTTAATTAATCGTGATTAAAATTGGTGTGACAATTACGAATATTAGAATCAGTAGAGTACGAAGTCGATTTTTAAAAATTCAAAATGGCGAATCCAATATGGCGGACGAAATTTAAAAAATTCATCGGATTCACTTGAAACTCTTTACTCGGGAACTTTCGAGGTCGCTGACTACGAATTTGAAGTCGGTTTTTAAAAATTCAAAATAGAGAAACCAATACGTTGGACAAATTGTAAAAAAAAATTAATCGGATTTAGTTGAATTTTCTGTTTTTTCTAAATTAAAACGGTACTATATTAAATGTTCAAACTAAAAGTCTCTCTATTAAGAAACATTTCTTTTAATTGAATGATTATTTCTACTTATATAAGATTAGTAGCTTTAAACTGTATGTGATTAATCAATTAAATATTAATGACTGTCTCAATTAATTATTACCTAGGACTCGATATGTAATCACAGTTAATTGAAATCCAAGAGTGCAATAACAATGCCAGTGATTGAATATTTTGTTGAATTTTTGCAAATAAATTAGTATTTGTGAGTTTCTTTAAACTTTTTCTCACGCAATTGTTTTCAGACGTGGGACATGATAATTACGATTCATTTTATAATTTTAAAATTGTTTGTCTTTTCTCGTAGCTTAGAACCTTGTTTAAAATTTCTTTTATTTTATTTTCTTTTAATTATTTGCATACATTAAAATATTTATTATTATTAATAGGTACCCAAATTGAAATTTGTATCCTATATAAGACCTGTAATAATCTCTTAGAATCTATTTTAATATTTAAAAATCTATTCAACTGAATATTTATAATATATTTTCAAATTATTTTCTATATTATATTGAAAACTGTCGTGTATTATTTATTACGATATAATTTTGAATTATTTATATTGCAATAAAATGACAGTTACATCAGTAAAATTATTAATTGCTTAAAATAAAAATTACAGGCATGAAGCATAAATGAGTAAATATGAGGAATATATTTTTCTGTGTGCAATAAAGGATTTAATTTTTTTTTACAATTTAATTAGTGAAATTAAATCGTTTGACGCGCTAAAGAACAACTAGAAGAAAGAGATTACGAGAGTCTTCATTTGTCGTAATTGCAGTGTACGAAAGTGTTTTATAACTTGATTCTTTAGGATGTTTTAAAATGCTTTCTCGTGCTTCAATTAAACGTAATGGTTAATAAATAAAAAATAACTCATAAAATTATAAAAAAAATAATAAATAAGTTATAATAATTATTGTATTCATCTAGAACTGGAAATTAAAACGCAACATATTTTAAATGGGGTTAATAAGAATAGAAGAACAAAGAGTAATTAACAATGGTTAAGGTCGGCGAACTGAATAAATAATACACGGTCAGTTTCAAAGCAGCCGGAGGAAAAGTTGTCTTTGTTTAAATAAGAAGGAGAGTATGAAGTAATAATTACCAACTCAGATGTGTTAGCTTATCTTAACACCTCTTAGAGAAAGTAATTTGCGCTTAGAAGCTAGTAAAATGTTTACTCGCCTACTGTGATTAGTAAACAAATTATTTTTTAATTGTTTGCAAATTTGTTTTGCTATACGATTTTTCTTTACAATAATATTTAGCAAGCACATAACTTTATACTGTGTTTTAAGAATTTTTCAATGATTAAAAATGATTTAATTTTAAAAAGTTTTTTTGAAAATTTGTAAATTCAGAAAGCTGGAAATATTAAATTTGGGTTGACAGACCCAGGTGATGACCACAGGTCTGGAGTTCAATAAACCGTGATGAAAGCCCAAATAATGAGATTCTTCCGCAAAGGAAAAAAAAGATGATTTTCCAAATATTGTGAATCGTTGAATACTTGGAAGAGTTCTTGTAGATGTAGAAACTTCTAACACTTGACTTGAAAATTCTTCTAAGTCGAACTTGAGTAAGAAATCGAGTAGAGTAACAATACTTGTATAAGATTTCGTATGAGAAGACGTGCACCAAAATCTGAACTGATCTCTCCTGGAAAATGTAGACCTTTTATACAGGATTTTCATTAAAAGGGTTGACCATCTAATCGTTGCGGATTAGGGTGACTTCCCCTTTTGCTTTCCATTAAATTATGGTAATAAAAGAAATCATCAACATACTCTCTCAATAGAACAATGTACGAACAGATGATCTTTCGATGTAAATTGTAAAAAAGAGAAAAAGAAGAAAAACCCTTGTTAGATATAAATAGAACAATACAATTTTATTACAGAAAGGGTTTATATTATCCAGATTCGATACAATTTTAGGATCAGCGAAAGAAATTATTTATTAAAAATTTTAAATAAATAAAATTGTGAAATTAATAAAAAATTTCATAGAGTCATAATGTATAGAATGATACTATAATACAAGTCACGTATCTGCTGAAAGTAAATTTAGTTTTCTCTTTGGAGTCGAAGGAGTATTGGGATAACGCCAGTTTAATCACTGATATCTTGACTATCTGTGATTAACGGTAGCACGAACGTCATAGGTAATGCCAGGGGTCATTCAATAGTGAGTTTTACGGTGTATGCCTAAGCAAAGGATGACAGAACTTTCGCATGCTCGTCCATTAAACACGCTTTAGAAGAAGCAACGTGTTATTCAATTAAAATCAACATACAATGGTGAACGAATATTACGAGGTCTTAAAGAAGGCAAATGAAGGGACGTGGTCTTACTTCACAGAAAAAACCTGAATTCAAATTGAGTATAGATTCTATACTCAATTTGATTCGCAACAAAAATGAAACTGGTTGTCTCATTTCGAGTTCTAAGGTAAAAGTATCAAAATGAAACAGGCAAGTTTCATTTTGAGAAAAAGAAAAATCGAAAAATATTGTGAAATAACGAATAATTTTGCACAAAAACATGAAATATAATAATTACAAAGAAGTAAATAACACGCTAGACTTAATATATTTGATTAAAAATTGCTTGTAATCGCGTAATAAAATAATAAAGGAAATATGTTTTTAGGTTAGAAAAATGAAAACATGTGTTTTGACAACAGGAACGGTACTGCCAACTTAAATAATAGCGGTAAATTTAAAAACTTATGAAATTAATTATTATCTACGTAAATAATAATAAATAATTTTTATTTAAAAACTTCTAAATATTCGTACTGGTCAAAATAATCTTTCTGGTGTTGTTGAAATATTAGAAACAATAATTGAAATACAAAATTACTCTGCTTATGATGCCAACTTAGAAATCTGAAATTCCAGCCAATATCATTTTGAATAACATGAAGTTTGTCCCATACTCATTTCGATACCCAAAAGAAAATGAGTTGCAACAAAAATGAGTCCAAGTTTTTTCTGTGTTCTCTCAACGTGTTCTTTCTTTATAACTGACAAGTCAGTATTGTAAACATACACATTGGAAATATTTTATGAAACTAACAAAATGCTTTCACTTTATCTCCAACAACGAAAAATTTATAAGTGAAACTGATTTTTGGTGATCTTTGTCAGAGGTATATTATCTCTTCAATCAATAAAGAGTGAAATCCACGTTTTTTGTCATTGTATGAAATTTTTAATTAATAGATTAAAAATTTAAGTTTATTTTAATGAGTTTCAATTTTTTATGTCACGATTAACAAAATTGAGGATTTATTTAAAATTGTTTTGAAAAAAATATATAATTATTGATTCAAAATGATGTATAAGTGAAAAAACTTAACAACGCTATTAGAGACTCTTTTTTGCTAAAATGCTCGCCAGGCTTTCATTAACAGTTCGAGAACCTAAATGATGTACTGTTGTGATGCATAACTATGATGCAAGACGTTGAGTGATGGATGATGATATCTAACTATAATCTTTGAAAGGGCAGATAATGATATGTCTTTGTCGATGTTTCTGAAAATTACACTTTCACATGTTTTACGATCTTCAGACACATCAAATCATACCGATCAACTTTCAATTTTATTGGAATTACGTCTCTCTCATCGAACACATATGTAAAATAAGTTTTTAATCTTTCAGAATGAAAAAGTTGTATTTTCTTCAAAGAATTAATTAATTGTTGGCCTGCTCCAAAAAATGTTGACAATTTATTTTTTCGAAAAATATTTGAATATTTTATCAATATTATATTTCTTTTTCGAATTAAGAGTGGAACTTGTGGAATGAGAGATAAAATTAAGAAAATAATAGAGTTATGAAATATAAGAAGAAAGTGATAGAATTTTATGATGATAGGATAGTAAATAACACGTAGGTGGTAAATAGAGAGGTCCTTCTCTTTAGTCTTCAACATACGGTTTTTTTGTGCTGATTTGCGAGACACGATGCGTAATTTGCGTTCGCAATTCTCTCACTTGACCTTTTAAATTACAAAAAAAAGAATAAATGAACCCAGACATCAATTAGATGCGTAATTTTAGATCTTGGCTAAAAATGAATGCAAAAAAAAAAATTAAGAGAAACAAAAATGGACAAAAAACTCGTATAAAGATTAAATAAAAATCTTTCAAGTCATCATGAAATAATTTCACTTTACATTTTGCCACTGCCAATTTTATTCGCCGTACTGGTGCATCGACATATCGATACGTCTCTTGCGAAATAGAAATTGTCGTATCGCATTTTAAACACATGGCTCTTGGCGC